ACCACCCGAATTGTTACTAGTGCACTCCAGCATTACGGGCAACCGGCTAAATCCGTCTATTCCACCTACAATAACAAAATTCCAACGAATCAGCTTGTGATTGGTATCAACCTGCCATAACTCATTAGGACCCTTCACATTGTACACTCTACTTTGGAGACGTCCTTTTGTTCGTTCTTGGACACCTAATCCATCTACTCTGTGTAAGCTATCTCTCAACCCCATTCATTGAACCTTAACCCCTTTTTCATACAATAACTGTTTCAGGAGTACCTCACCGCAACGTGGAAATTCTTTCGTTGTTTCATGCACTTGGTGATCAAGTTCCTCGTCACATATGTTGGAAAACTGTAATTTACTTAGCCCGTAAAGTCTCATTCGGCGGTAAGTTGTACTTTCAGATACTGACATCATATTTGCAATTTCCGAGATAGGGAAGTCTTCTTCCAAATAACATTCAAGCACTGACTTTGGAATATCGAAAGCAGGAGGTCCGAGAGCACTTGGAAATTTCATTGGTTGTTCCACACCAAATGTTACACAGGCTATTCTTAAAGTCATTATGTCGCACCAATTTTGTAGGCCAAGTTCCTTGAGTTCATGTAGGGACAGTTTACAAACAATGTCAGGTGATATCATTTCTTCTTCAAACCGATCTATCAAACCGTCCATTTTCAATTTTCTCAACACCGAAGACATAGTCACCATGGTCGCCATTTTGTGATTGGTGTATATACGCCATGTTCGCTGAACGCAGATATCGCCAATTCTCGTCCCAGAGCCGCACGCTGACCATGTGATGAGTTGAAACGGTGGGCTCTGGGGACCAGTCTCACAAATACGATGTGAGCATGTGCTTTGGAGTAGTTTAGATGACCAGATATAATGGCTCAGCGAATACCATGTTGCAAATGCACCAAATATAATGCTGTATGAACCGAATCGCTGAGCACCGAGTAGCAAGTTGTTTGCACGAGTAGCAAGATGTTTGCACCAAACCAGATACTAAACTGACCACAAATCAGGTGCAAACTGACTACGTAAAAAGCACAGAGCATGGCAAATTATTCACCGAATATAAAGAAAGCTGCACCACTAAAATTGATCCAAGCACCGAGTACAAAGCGGTTAGCAGTGATTATAAAGGCTTTCACACCAGGTATAATGTGGAAATTACCGAGTACCTTGGATAAAGAGCCAAGTATAAGGTGACTGGCACCGATTATAGCAACCAGACCACCGAATATCATAATACAAGCACCGAAAATGATAAGAAAAGCACGACGGATAAGAAAACAAAATATCTTAAGACAGTTATGGCGTTCCATAGAAAACTTGCAACTCCACAAGGGAATGACTTGAGATTTATAACTTCAGTCTTCTCGATAACTAAACCCACAAGTTCCACCAGCGAACGATTTAAATGAACAGCAAATCTCCACGTTAGCATTTAAGATGAGACGCTTATACAACAGATCAACATGCTAAATTAGTATGTAGCTTGTTAATCAAATAGACCTTTGTAAACATTCTCTGACTTATGCCGGCAAAGGAATCATTGATGAATCTAAACATTTTAGTTTTCTGAATACAGAAGTTCCTGGAAGGTTTTTCTAGATATCGTGCAAAGAGGAAGAAAAACAATCTCTTGGTATTTCAGAGGTTGATCCCTCTTTGAATTTATGCGTCATGCTTGTCATGCAACTGATAAAATAAGATGGAGAAGATCTGTAAACTGGAACTCAGCTCAGGCTAAAATGTGGTAGAGCATGACGTGATCATGGAAAAGGCTATTAAAATCCTAAATAACCATGGTAAGAGTGTTGTGTTTGATTTTTTCCGCAAATTGTAGTGATTTATGCCAGTAAACGGTGGCGACAAATAGGGACCATACATACATACGTACATACATACGTTAGTTGACCTCTCCCCATGGAGGCTTTTCAGGGCCAATTCTCACCCATCCCACCCCAGGGGAGGACATCCACAACACAGTAATCTTGTGCGTAGGAAATTAACGTCTCCTACCCCTAACCCTGCAGGAGACAGGGCATACGGTTTATTCGTCCTTATCCGAGAAGCCGGACTAGAATATCTATCCATTTCTTGATTATAGAAAGGTAGCAAATTCTCGTCACTTAATTTAAGACCATGGGTATCGGTCCGGCCGGGGCTCGAACCCTCAACCTCCTGCACAACACAATCTGGCGCTCTAACCAATTGAGCTAACTGGGAGGTGGTTGTCAATTGAGCTAACCGGGAGGCAGATGACGGTTATCATGTATATTTCATAGTTGCTAGCAAGTAAATTTTGCCCAACTTTGAATTCGTCTCACGTTAGAACAACACAAATACACAATGAAAATTTTACAGTAAATTTATAACCATCCTTTTGTATTTTAAAAGCTAGAGGCTGAGTAGATTCTGTAATATGGATCATTGTTGTCCTTTGTATGATAGTTTTCTATTACAACTTAATAACAAAATCGCAAGAAAGTATCCTTGCTTTGAAAAATTTGATCAGAAAGGACCAGAATTGCGGAGCACAAAAAGGCAGTTGCAGGTTTTGACTTAAACTCCAAAGTCGCAAGCCATGTCCACCTTTTCGACCATAACATGGACTTTACAAACGTCAGGGTCGTTGGTTTCGAATCTAGTTACCACGAGAGACTTTTCTTTGAAGCCACC